CATTCAACACACCTGGAAGTCTTAATGAACTTAATTTTGAGAAGTATTTCGATTTCTGCTTTAATCTTCGACATGACTTCTGGTGCGAACCTTCTTAGCATCTTCTTTATTGGCTTCTTGTCAGGTCGAATAGGTAGTTTCAACTCCACCAGATCCCAACTAAGCATTGACATTCATCATAATCCCAAGCAAAGGAGTCCTTGAGCTTCTTCAATACTTCGATTATATGTGTTCTCAGGCTTGGGTCGATTTTGGAACTTATATAGGTTGGCCTTTTGATCGTCCCTTCCCCTAAGTTTATCTCTTCCAAAGGATATTGAGCTTGCATCTTTTTGGTCGAGCTTGTTGGGTATTTCTCAAACCCCAAAGGTTCATCGTCATAGATCTAGTCGAGTTTGCGACTTTCTGAAGTTGTTTCTTGGACATTCTGGATAGTTTCCAAGATTTCAACAGTTTCAAATGTTGTGGCTTCGACAACCATTCTTTTTTGAGATTTGGCCTTTAAAGTCGCTCTTATTTTATTTTCATCCATGTAGGCCGAAATTTGATTCAATGCTTCTAACTCAGTCATTATTGTCGTAATATACCACCCACCTAGTTAGTGTGATGGTACTCTATCCACCTAAATCCCCCATCATCTCATGATCCTATATGAAACCATGGGTGGAATGTAAATTCAAGAAATACATATCATTTTCCAAAGGTGCAAATGTTGTTTCGGTTAGATGGCATGGTGAGATCTTTGCTAATTTTCTATCAAAGTTTTTTTATCAACCGATTGACCTCAACCAAGAAGTAGCTTTAGTCGGCCTATATGTTTTTGAATATACCATTTGGCTGCAAAATAAACACCATGTGATGAAGTGTTTATGGGACTGCTTCTACCCCATGTATCCATTCCCTTCCTAATAACAAGTTGTAACTTGCTTTGGAAGGTATAACCATAAATAAGGTTGGTTTCACTATTGTTCCCACTGAGATGTACACTTGGATTACTACCAATATGTGACTTTTTTACCTTCATAATTGGACAATACCATGTTATGAGGGTGCAAATTTGTATCAAATTTGCTAATTATTTTCAATAGAAAGTGGGGCATTAAATTTACTACAACACCTCTATCAACAAACATTTTATTAACACTGATATTGTCGACCTTAACATGTATAAACACAGGCTTAAGGTGGTTCATCATGCCTGTATCGAGTTTCTTAAACATGGATTGTTGCTCCTTGACACAACCATTGTTCATTACTTGGTAACACACTAGTTTGTGATTTTTCGTCTCTTCAGCAAAGTATTTATCTTCTGTGTCAGTGACTTCTGTGACACAATCATATTCCATGGGTAAGAAGGAAAACACATTACAAATAATAGTAAGGTCTTATTCATATACAACATTGAAATCTATGATCATTTTGTCATCCCGTTGTAATATGGAATCTTTTGGAATGTCTTTCGCCACTGGTGATAAAGCAGGAAAGAGTGTCTGTTTTACTTGCTTTTTTTCCATTTTGCCGATTGTTGTTATTGACTCTGTATTGGCGCTAGAGTTTGCAACTTCAAAGGATGCCTCTTTCTTTCTCTGATGTCATTTCCATTAATTCCTTGTTATAGGGTTCTTCCCTAAAATAGTTTCGAGGGAACTAAGAACATTTCTTTGACACATGGGAATTAACTTGGTAAAAGGACCCCGTTCCCATTTCCAATGTCTTCCACTTGTTTTGGTTAGCATTGCGCTTATACAGCAGCCAAATCCATTCTCCTTGAGGGACATTTGAAGGTGGAACATATATCCTTTGTTGATTTCTCTACATCCTAGGAAAATCTTGTTTTTTCTTGTGAGGAACGCCCATCTTGTCACAAGTGACTGAGGCCTATTTATGTCTCGTCTACCTTTTCCTTAGATATAAGGGTTTGACACCTTTAAGGGCCTTAACTGCTTCTTTATCAAACTCAGTGTTGCACCTGAGGCATAACATTACCTCTGAATCTTTTAGCTGACAATGGTTCAAGAAATCAATAAGTTCTTCTTCGACTTTTGGATAAACTACCTTCATCTTTTCGTCATATTCATCCACAACAAACTGTTCGACATCCATGTTGAGACCTTAAATAGTCTCAACCATCACGATTTCAATAGGTTTAGCATAATGCGCTTCTTTGACTTGAAGGGGATCCGAATCAACTTGCATCGGAGGTTTGGATTTATCCCCAAACTGTAACCTGACTTCTTTGAGTGCATTCTGCACCAAATCCCTGAAAACACACATTGAGAAGTTTTATGACACAACAAATTATCATACTTACAAAAACCTCTCTTTTCCTTTGTTCTAATGGAGGAGTTTTTAGGCCTTTGGGCACTATGATTTGTCCACCAGTTACTAGTAAATCGAAATTTTCATCACATTTAGTTATGTTGAACATGTACTTTTTTTCCACTAACTTCTTGTTTTTACTAGGTACAACGAGATTCTTTCTGCTCAAAGGTTTAAACAACTTACAGACATAAGCATGTCATGGCTTTAATTCCACCACATTGACCTCACTTTCTTCGACACAATCAATATCAAATGTTTGGTCAATTTTATCTATTTCGACGTAAGACACTTTTTCCTTTTTATGGTATTTATTTGACCTAACCTTTTCAGATTTCAAGCGTTCCACTTGTCAAACTCTGTCCGCTAGTTGAACCATGTCTCTTAAATACTAGGTGTCTAACCAAAAGGGTCCGGGCAAAAATCATATATATATATATATATATATATATATATATATATATATATATATATATATATATATATATATATATATATATATATATATATATATATATATATATATATATATATATATATATATTGTACACCCGACAAGTCAAAAACCTGAAAAGGCGGCTTGGGCAAAAAAGGGTATCCCAGTGGACTGAAAACCCGAAAAGGAGGTCCAGGCAAAAATTAGGGATTAAAGCGTACGACTATGTCCCGTTGGATTACCTACATAGAACAAGGTTATTCATCAACGTCAAGTTTAAATAGTACCGATCAATTCAGTCAACTTCTTCCGACAGCGAGGGATGAGATGCTTGAAGACATAAAGGAAATAGAAGAGTTGAAAGTCAACGAGATCGTTTCCACATAGCTGCTTTCGATGTGTTTTACTTTGTACTCTTTTCATTTTACGACAATTTCCTCTTACTATGATTTTTGTGTCTATGTTCAAAACCGCTTGTTTATAGGAAAATTATCAATACAAATACAATTTCAAAAATTAAAATTTTGTTTTATCTTTTCTGTTTTGTTTGCAAAAACGTCCAATGACTAAATTGAATGAAAATATGCATATGAATATGATTACTGTTAACAAATATATACATAAAAACAGGAATCAACATTTGCTAAAGACTTTAGGAATTGGGATAACGTTCAAGTCGTCCACAAATTCCCACAGAGCAACCTCCATGGGATTATCCCCACAGATTTACCTTCACATTTGTTATGTACCTCTCCCAAAGCCGTGTAATAGCTTAGGGTTTATCTTTCCGCATTTATTTTCCGCACCTTTACTGCTTTATTATTTTACTATGTTACTGTTAGTAAATAGGATTGCATGAAAAGACTAAAATTAATCAATAGCTAACCCTAATTTCAAAGATAAACATAACTGAAAACAAATCACCTCGCAAACTCGTACCTCTAGGGTAACCTCCCTTGTTGCCTTTCGGGAAACAGTCATGTCCCTCGAACGTGGGGACGCTTTAGCAAAGTCTCTCGATATAAAGATCATAGTCCCTCGATGACCATTTCGATGTCGCCTTCGATAAATGATCTAGTCCCTTAACGATAATTGTTAAAGCGTCCTTACCAGTTTCCTTCGATGATTGTACGATGACCCACGCTTGTCCCTTCACATCCAACGATAGAGCTTCCTACTAACTAATGGTAGGATATCACTATCTAAAGGAGAAAGAAAGTACAAGAATGACCTTGAGTAGGTAGACTGTTGTTAATCGCTTGCTCACAAATATTACAAAAAAAATATTTTTTCACACAAACACTTTTCAATAAATATTTTCAAAATACTTTGTACGCATTCTCGAGAACATATATGAGAATCATTACAAAGTTTTCCTTACATTGACATCTTTTCAAAATATTTTCAAACACACACAAAAAGGAAAATTTCAAAGTGAGCTAGCGATTAAGAGTCCTTAGATAACTACAGATGAAAAGAGTGCTAACACCTTCCATTTTCATAACGTATCCCCCGAACTCAAAATCTATCAAAGGTCGTTCATGTTCTTTTCATCTTTCCTAAATATTAGATAAAAGAAAAGTCGGTGACGACTCTTACTATCCACAACATTTACGATAAAACGTAAAACCAAATCAGTTTTTCCACCGTATTATATACTATTACAAAGATAATGATCGACTTTAGTAATTCATCCCCATTTGCATTTGTACAATTTTAGTGGCATTCTTGATACTAGTGGCACAAGCTATGGTAGATTGTAATACAATCAAAGGCTCTATGTTGGTTAGTCCCTCACTCCTTATCATTTGAGTCATTCAATCAATTCAACTTTAACTTTAATATAGCACATTAAAATAATCTCGACGGTTTACTTGGATCAGACCAAAATCCTCACATATAAAAAGAGAATTACTAACAACAGCTTTGGCCAGCTGTTACTTGCCAAAGTACCAGCACTATTTGCCATTCGCACCACAATATCCTTTTCTTAATGCCCTTTTCTTTATATTTGAGTTCCATTCTGGCATCTTATGTGGCACATTCCTCGATGATGTGTCCATTGGATTATGGAATAAGAGCTTGATTGGCAAGTCACTCATTATTTAAATTGAATTATGGAGTAAGAGCTTGCTTCCCAAGCCACTCATAATTTAAACTGAAAATATTTTTTTGACTATAAAAACCCAAGAAAGCCAAAGAGTTCTCTTCACTTCACTTCACTCTACTCTATTCTCATCTTCAAATGTCTTCCAAAATGTGTGGGTTTTATGGTCTGTTTGTGTGTCTTATGTTAGTGTTTTGTGTGTCAATGTCCACCTCTTCAAAGTTTGATGAACTCTTCCAACCAAGTTGGGCTTTTGACCATTTTGTTCACGAAGGAGATCTCCTTAAACTCAAACTAGACAACTCTTCGGGTGCTGGATTTGGATCTAAAAACAAGTACATGTTTGGAAAAGTATCTATCCAACTTAAGCTTGTTGAAGGTGATTCTGCTGGAACTGTTACTGCTTTCTATGTAAGTATGAACAAGTTGAATATTAAAAATATATAGCATCTCATATTATTATTGAGGAATCTAATACATACTTGTGAAATATATAGATGTCATCGGAGGGTACAAAGCACAACGAGTTTGATTTTGAGTTTTTAGGAAACAGCACAGGTGAACCTTATTCTGTTCAAACAAATGTTTATGTTAATGGAGTTGGTAACCGTGAACAAAGACTTAACCTTTGGTTTGATCCTACTAAGGATTTTCACTCTTACTCTATTTTCTGGAATCAACGCCAAGTTGTGTAAGTATAGTATCGTTTTTGCTTTGTTTATTTAAAAATTGTAAAGTTGAAAGTGAATATAAAATAAGAAAGATAATAATAAGCTTTGGATCAATGGTTCTGAAAAGTAACAGTAAAATGCCTTTTTTTTTTCTTTCTTTCTCTGAGTGGTGGTTTAGCCATCATAAGCTTTGTTGTGATTGTGTTCCCTCGTGGGTCCCTCAATGTTGATTTAGTGTAGTTTTCTATGTTTAGATTTTTGGTGGATGAAACTCCAATAAGAGTGCACACAAATATGGAACATAGAGGAATTCCATATCCAAAAGATCAAGCAATGGGTGTATACAGTTCAATATGGAATGCAGATGATTGGGCAACAGAAGGAGGAAGAGTGAAAACAGATTGGAGTCATGCACCTTTCATAGCAACCTATAAGGCCTTTGAAATCAATGCTTGTGAGTGTCAAGTTTCAGTGGGTGGAATGGAAAATAGAAAGAGATGTAGTAGTAGTGAGGATAACAAGTATTGGTGGGATGAACCAAATTTGTCAGTGCTTACTTTGCATCAGACTCATCAACTCAAGTGGGTTAGGGCTAAACATATGGTTTATGATTATTGTAATGATGTTTCTAGGTTTCCTGTTTCTCCTCTTGAGTGTCTTCATCATCGTCATAATTAAGGAACAAGTGTTTAATAATGTGAATTACTTAGTATTGTTCATCTTGTTCAATGGAATTTATGTTCTGTTTGATTTTAAGAACTGAATTCGTGCATCCATTACTGTATCTTTTAAACTTACATCATATAAGCATTATTATATGAACTGCAAGAATAGACTTGCATCTCCCACATAAACTCCTTCATGTCCACTACTTTTTCTCTGGGTAAATTTTATTCAATATCTTTGTTCAATCACTTTTCCGAACTTTTTACTCTATTATCCAACATTCCCAACTAAAATATCATTTTAACCTACTTTATTTTCGTAGGCTGTGTTATTACTATCATGCCGCATATGCCAAATTAAGGACCTGATGCGCTCAGGGACGTTAAGCTTCCAAATGATACTCCATATCTTGTCATTCTCATCTTCCCTTTGACGAGTGAGATCTTCGTAAGGACTAGCAATGGTGAACTTGCCATTGGGAGTCTCATTCCAGTTACAGAAGTCATTACCATTGGCAACACAGAGAGAGGAATAGAGAATAAATGATGCTGATACTCTTGAGGGATGACTTGAAATAAGTTGTTCCATTTCCACTCACCTTCATTCATAGCGAACTCTGTGAGCATACTGTCCTCATTAACCATCGAATTTAGATTAGGACAGTCTTTAAGGTAGATGTTTGCTCCAATCCAACTGCCATACCCGAATTTGATGTCTTTACCATCACTAACATGCCACATAGTTTTATAATTAATCCGTTCACTATTAGCCACTATACTTTTCCAGAGGCTAGAGTCCACAGTCTTTGCCTCATAATTAATATGGTGCCTCACTCTATTGGGATATTTGGCCTGTAAGACCTTACTCCACAATCCAGAGTGCCTATTCTTAAGATTCCAACCAATCTTCGCAATGCAAGCCTGGTTCATTTTGATCAAATTCCTTAATCTTACCCCTTTGGCCTTTGACTTAGCTATCTTATTCCACTTGATAGTATTCATATGTTTATCTCCTGCAGCCTCACCCTATAGGAATCCACGTTGCAGCTGGTGGATATTGTTAAGCACCTTAATAGGAACCTTAGCTGTCATCATTGCATAGGTGGGCATTGCCTCAATGACTTCCTTGGCAAGGGTGGCTCTCCCCGTAAACGAGAGTTGATTACTTTTCCACCTAGTAAGCCTATTCTTCACTTTATCAACCAGATACATATAATCATGCACCCTAGGATTTTTGCCGGTCAGAGGCACACCAAGATAGGTATCAAGGTGAGAAGTTTCTCTGAACTTAGACATCTGCACTAATTTCCTCGTCATCTAGAGACAAGTATTGCCAGAAAAATAGATGTTGGATTTCTCAACAGTCACCCTCTGACCAGATATGGCACAAAAATTGTCAAGGATCTGCATGACACACTTCATCTGAGATTCTGTGGCCTTCCTAAACAATAGAATATCATCCGCAAATATCAGATGACTGATACAAGGACCACCTTTACTAGTTTTAATCCCTTGCCACTTACCGGCATCTTGGCTATCCTGAATCGGGTGGGTGAGATTTTCGAGGCAAAGAACAAAGAGATACGGGGAAATAGGATCCCCCTATCTAATGCCTTTCCTCATGTCAAAATACTCACCCTTCTAGCTATTTAAGATCACATGCATCTTAACAGAGCTAGTAGAATTCATGATAATCCCCTGAAGCTCTATGGGAATATCCACCTCTTGAATCACCTTTTCCAGAAAGTCCCAGCTTAACATATCATAAGCTTTAGAAAGATCTAACTTTATGGAAAAAAGCTGACATTTCCTTTCAGCTTAGTCATGCTATGAATGATCTTGTTGGCCACAACAATGTTTTCCTGAATGCTTCTTTTGAGAAAAACCTGATTGGCAAAGAGACACCACAAGGTCAATAATCTGCTTTAACCTCTTCACCACTACCTTACTCAATACTTTGTAGATGGTATTGCATAAGGCAATGGGCCGGAATTGATTAACATTCTGAGGAGACTGCACCTTAGGAATGAGACAAATATTCGTGTAATTGATATTCTGAATCTCCTGCGGATTCGTCCACAGATTTCTCACAAACCCACAAACATTAGCTCCCACGGAGCCATGTCAAAAAGAGCCATACGAATTTCCTCATCCGAAACATCCTTCCCAAGGCTATGCTTCTGCATCTCAGATATAGAAGGAAAATTGCATCTGGTGTCACACCAACTATCATTAGAGGTGTTCATAGTTTACAAGGTTTTGAAATTATCTCTAAAGAAGGTTTCAATCACACCAGCATCATCCACCCACTCCCCAAGCCCATTCTTAATCATGGAAATGTTCTTTCTCCGCCTTCTATTGATTGCCTTAACGTGATAATACTTTGTGTTCCAAAACCATCCTTCATCAACTATGGTTTCTCAACAATTAACTCCTAATCACCAAACACTACTTCTTCATGAGGAAAACCTAAAACTTCCACTTCACTCTCGATTTCTTTCCATCTAAGATTCCCCAGGAACTCCCTCTGTTATGCCAACACAACAATTGTCAATTCTTACTGAACTAATAGTGGATTTCGAGAACCTGACAGATAATGGGTTTGATCTATCCAATGATTTTAAGAGTGAAGGCTGGGAAAACTACTTTGATCTTCTCAAAGGACCAACTTATCCTAAGTTAGTCAAAGAATTTTGGAATAACGCATACCCTCTCGATATGACAACTATTTGCTCAAATGTCAAAGGTCATGACATCATCATTAAGGAAAATGATATTGCAAAACTCATTCAGCATGATGGATTTGGTACTAGATGTAAGAACATTGAAGCATGTATATTATTGTCACCTAAGCAAATATCGTCAGAAACCGCTTCCACAATTGATCAAATCATTTTCAAAAATGGCAAGAAACAAGACAAATAATCTTCATGACAATCCCAAGGTATGGTCCGAGATTCTCTCTGAAAGTATTCTTCACAAAAAGTCGTCCAACAAAAGTACCTATCTAGATATCAACTCTAAATATGTGATATACTATTTGGTCATAAAAGAAAAGGTAAATCTACATGCAAGCATTTTCTTCAATCTTCTCTACTCAATTTGATTATCTAAAAGAGTATCAATAAATCAAAGGGATTGGATTCCCTATGGAAGATTGATCTCTACAAACTTAGTTGAGAACAAGCTCATAAATTCTTCTATATCTCAAGCTAAACTTGAAATGGTGATTGGAAAACCATTCAATGGAGAAAACCTGATAGATATGGTTATTATTTCTAACCTAATCAAGAAGCCTTATAATTTAAATATTGTTGGTATCTCTCAAAGAAATATATTTACTTTTTCTCTCAATTATTTGGAAAATAACATCAAGAAGTTAAGTCGCTTACTCACACTGACCCTTGTAACCCAAATCTTTCTCTTCAAAAGCCAAAACATTTATCATACCTTGGCTCTCTTGTTATCTTCCACCATAATCTACCTTACTCTTGTGCTCATCCTGATTTTCAATCTGAAACAAGTCAAGTAGATCTTTCATCCATCACATCCTACAACTTGCCTCCAACACCCCTTACTCAGCCTTTTATCGAACTTCAAATAGTCCACTAATCTCATATGAACTCTTCCAAAAATTTCAACAACTTTCCTTGATCTCTATTGAAAATGTCTTGAATATCTCTTCTTCTAGCATGGATCCATTCAAAATTGAAGCTGTGTGGATTAACTTCAGAAGAGTAATGGATGTCAATTCTAACATCATGCAAACCTTCATTTTTCAAGAAGTTGAAAGGAAATATAAGGAAATGCTTGAAACCTTACCAAAACCTCCTTTGTGTCTGCCTGCTCTAGAACCTACATGACAAGTGATTCTTGGCTTAGAAGTTGTGTGCCCTTCTAATACCTCTAATATTATTTTAGTGACAGCTGAAAACCAACCCTCGTGCTCTGGTGTGAAGCCTGCTATGGATGTTGAAAATAAAATTTATTAGATAGAGGAATCCTTGGAGAAGATGCAAGAATCAAATCGGATTGTTCAAGAGCGTCTAGAAAGATAGGAGGAAACAAGTCTACCTTAAGCAACCTCTTTCAATCAGATGACTGAGATGTTGAAGCAACTGATGGAAAAGCTTAACAAGAAGTCTTAGTATTAGAACTTAAAATTTATTTTCTTATGTTTCTAAAACAATTGTATCCCTTAAAATCTTGTTTTTTATGAAGTTTTAACAGTTTGTTGGTTATCTTCAAAGCTTATTTTTCTGTCTCTTTACCACCTTTTTAATTTTTGACAAAAGGGGAGAAAGTAAAATCATTTTGATAATATTTATTCTCAGAATCTTAAACTCAAACATATATAATATTGTTGCTACTAACTGTTTGTTTGATGTTTCAATCCAGGAACTTTGAATAAGTTCACCGAGTATTCTAAGACAAGTTGAATATGAAGATCCTGATTTCTAAGGTTAAGAACCTTATGGATGAAATCAAATCTGATTTCATATATAAGAAGTTGTACACTTTGTGAATATATGTATATTCAAACAGATGTACCAAACACAATTATGAAGTTATAAACTTACTGAAAGTAAGGTAATCTTGTTTGATATCATATTGTTCAGAAATTGGGAACTTTCTGAAAGTATGGAATTTAGACTTAAATCTTCAGAAGTTGTGCTCTCCTGAAAGGAAGTCAAGTCAATATTATGATGCATGCTCTAATACATAGACGCCACTCAAAAGATATGCTCTAATACATGTTCTTCTGCAACATGCGCTTCTGTAATGTGTGCTTCTGCAGCGTGTGTTCTATTCAGAAGTTGTGAACTGTCTAAATGTGTGATATATTAGAATATATCATGTCAAATGCTGATGCTTAAGAAGTAGTGAACTTCTCCAGAAGTATAGTATTTTGATGGTGATATTAGAATTGATAAATAGAAGTGTTGATACATGATGCATGACATTATTCAATCAGGCTCAAAATCAAGTTTTGATTCTTCATCAAATGCTAAT